TGTGGATGATGTGTATACTGTGCAGTCTTTAGGTATTTTTAAAATACCTGTGCCGTGTAAAGTATAAAACGTTGTTGATGTTGTAAATACCATGGTGGTTACAATTTTATTCGTTGTCCAGAAAATAACAAAATTATTACGTAGTAATTTTTCAAAATGGGCGTTATTGAAGTAACCATGTCGTACTTCGCCGTTTTCTGGTGACTTTATTAAAGTATCTGAATTGAAAAGCTGAATCTCACATATTGGGTATGTTTTGAAATATACAACATTTGTTAGTAAAAAATATTTTGTTTGACCTAGAGTATTACAATTAGCATAGTCGTTCTCTGTTAAAGAAATGAATTTATGTTTGTCTAGTGAGAYTGCTAAGTATGGGTTATGTGGTTGAATAAATACAAATTGTGATGTAATTATTTCTAACGGCATCGTAATAGGGACGCACCGTAATAAGATGTCCCTCAGTCAGGCCCAAAGATGGACCGCTATTCGAGTAGCGAGGTGTCATAGGACCGTGTCCGACATGGATGCCCAGGTCCTARCTAGGATGCCCTCTGCGCACCTTCTGGCAGTTGAGCGGAGCAGAATTGAGGGTCGCAAGCAAGAGGCCACAACGACAGCAGTCATCAGGAGGCAGGAACGAGAGGTTACAGTGCGCGAATGGCAGAGCCTGTGGAACCTCACTACGAAGGCGGCGTGGACGAGGAGATTGATTCCGGATAACCTAACCTAACCTAACCTTGACCCAACCACTAAAATTGTATCGATATTTATGAAAAAAAAAAAAACCAAAAAAGTTTGTAACGTGGTCGGGGATGACCCGTAAAATATAAGATATTCAGGAAGAAGTTATAGTTCTTTTGAATATATTTTCACCGTAGCATGAATGGTATTAGGATCTTAATATTACAAATAAATAACGATTGGTCTAAATTATTATTAATACAAACAAATTTATTATTACTTACGGTTTACGAACAAAGTTACCAAAAATGTGGGATTGTACGGAGTTCAGGTGCGSGTGATGATAATCGCGGATAACTGACTTTCTCCTAAATATTCATATTTGGCCTATTTGGCCGTAGCCTTACAATAATATTTATATTACGAACAGGAAGGGCTTAATATAAATTCAGCATAATATTTATGTTATGTATATGATATACATATGTCATATATACATATATATATAGTATATAGGTTTCTATTGTACATATCATGTTAATATAATATATGTATGAAACAATCGTTACAAGTTGAAAAATTAAAATGTCAGTAAACATCTCTAACCTAATCAAAAAAAAAAAAATTGAAAATCTTATCAAATATAGAAAATGCCTATATAAACATTCAGTGAATATTTCAAGTACCTATCTGCGGTCATTTGTTTTAGAGTTACACTAAAATAAGAAAATCGCTAAATGAGAAATCTAGTGAAAATCCAATGTAATAAAAATTTAAACTTCAAACGCTCATAAAAAACTTAATTTGACTTTCTGGTGGATATTTTTATAATAAACTATRATAAACTTTGACAAACTTATAAAAAACCTTGTATTAAATTTTCAAATCTTAGATTTAAAAATGAATTTTTTTATGAATTTCTAGCTTAAAAT